TGACCTAAATATCGGGGTGCACAAGTTGTAAAGAGCCTTGAGAAGTGGGAACCTGGGAACTTGGGTGGCTGGGGTGACAGTCGGCCCCAAAGGACATCATGCAACCCAGTCCCAGGACTCCCCAGGCTTATCTGAGCCGGGGTTCCCACTGCAGTCTCCACTGTCACTGGGGCTAGGACCAAAGGAACGAAGGAACGCGGCACCCTGAGGGGAGGTCTGCAGGTGAGTCTCAGCCTCCTGGATCCCGCCAGCCTCTCCTAAAAGGAGCTCTGAATTCACACCTGTGTCCAGAGCATGCTGTGGAGAGGAGAAGAATGGGGGTGCCATTTGCCTTCCCCCCACTCCCTGGAGTGGGGCCCTGTCCTGGAGTCCCCTCTCCTGTTCTGAGCACCTTCCCGGAGCTGCTCCTGGTGCCTTGTGGGCGCTACAGTTTCCTGGGGCTCCTGCCTGCTGAGCTGGAGCAACGGGCATCCGGCCAGGCCTTGGCCCACCTGGACCATCAAATCTTGTGCTGCCTCTCCTCCCCCCCCCGCCTTCTCTCCCCCGCTGTACTCCCCCCCAGACAAGCAGACATAAAAATGGGGGTCCCCCTCCCCCGCCGCCCCCTGGCCCCTCCCTTGCCCGGCCTTCCGCTCTTCCCAGGGAGTTGATGCCGGTTGTCTCCTGTCTCTCCCCTCCCTGGGCTGGGCAGGTGACCATCTCGGTGGACGGGATCCTGACCACCACAGGCTACACGCAGGAGGACTACACCATGCTGGGCTCAGATGACTTCTTCTACATTGGGGGCAGCCCCAACACTGCCGACCTGCCGGGCTCGCCCGTCAGCAACAACTTCATGGGCTGTCTCAAGGACGTGAGTAGGTCTAGGGAGGGCTGTGGCCGGCCCAGGAACTGCGTGGCTCCTCTGGCCCGGCCAGCTGCCTGGGATCTCTGACACGTCCCCTCTTCAAAACCCAAGGCCCGTGGACTGGGTCAAGAGGCACATCTCCTCTCATGTCCTTGGAAGGCCCCCCGGCCCCAGCCCCTAGAGGACCCTCAAAGCCAGCTGTGGAACTGAGGGAAGGCCGGCTGTGAAGGCTGGAGGCTGTTCCAGTCTCCAGTCTTCCACTCTCTAGCTCTGTGACCTTGGCCAAGCCCGAATCCCAGTTGCCCTGTGTCCAGACGCATGGTGGTACCTGCTTCCTAAGGTGGTTGTGAGGAGCAGATGAGAGTGTCAGTGCCAGAGCTTCGTTGGTTAGGAAGTGGTCACTGCTGGGAGCGGTCACTGCTGCCTTGCATGATTGTGAGCGGCAGTCCGTGGGCCCTGAGAGCCCCAGGGTGAGCTTCTGGCCAGTGCCGGGGCCGAGGAAGGAAATGGGGCAAGGGGGTGTGCTGGGCACAGCCTCTGTGTTTGAGTTCTAGAACAGAGGCCAAGCCGAGTGCTCTGGGGGCACTGTGCAGGGGCCGCGGGGGTGGGGTGCTGGGGTCCCCTGGGCAGGAGAGGCCAGGCCCTGAGCGCCTTTCCCGCCCTTCCTGCAGGTGGTCTATAAGAACAATGACTTCAAGCTGGAACTGTCCCGCCTGGCCAAGGAAGGGGACCCCAAGATGAAGCTGCAGGGGGACTTGTCATTCCGCTGCGAGGATGTGGCTGCTCTGGACCCCGTGACCTTTGAGAGTCCCGAGGCCTTTGTGGCACTGCCCCGCTGGAGCGCCAAGCGCACTGGCTCCATCTCTCTGGACTTCCGCACCACTGAGCCCAACGGGCTGCTGCTCTTCAGCCAGGGCCGGCGGCCGGGGGCCGGGGCGGGCGGCCACAGCTCTGCCCAGCGGGCCGACTACTTTGCCATGGAGCTGCTGGATGGCTACCTCTATCTGCTGCTGGACATGGGCTCAGGGGGCATCAAGCTCCGGGCATCTAGCCGCAAGGTCAACGACGGCGAGTGGTGCCACGTGGACTTCCAGAGGGACGGGCGCAAAGGTCAGGAGGCCTCTGGACCTTCCCCTCCCTGGCCACCGACCACCTGCCCTGCTGCCTCTTTCCCCCTCCAGCTGGTCTCTGTCCTGCATCATGTCCTGCTCCCAGCGGCGGCTCCTTGCACCCTCCTCCAGTCCTCCCCCACCCTGTCCCTTCCCTCACAGCAGAAAGAGCACCGTGTTCCTTGGCAGCCGACCCAGACACCCCTCAGCTCTGCCACGCGCTGCATGTGGGCTCAGTTTCCTTATCTGTGAAAGGGACAATTACACAGGATCATTGAGAGGAAAAAATAGGATTAGCACAGCCCCTAACACAGTGGGTGTCTGTCTGCCTTCAAGAAAATAGCTCCCTTCTATCCAGAGTCCCGGAAGTGCCTTTTATTAACCACACGACACTTACAACCATCCCTCAGTGTCTGCGGGGATTGGCTCCAGGACGTTCCCATACCGAAACCTGTGACGCTAAGTTTCTTACGTAAAATGACATAATACTGCATATCAATGGCGCACACCCCTGTGTGCATTTTACGTCATCTCTAGATTTCTTACAACACTAATACAGTGCAAATGTTGTCTAGTAGTCCTTTTGCTGTATTATTCGGGGAATAATGACAAGAAGATCTGTTCATGTTCAATACAGACACATCTTTTTTCCTCTCAAATATTTCCCACCTGTGTTTGGTTGGATGGGTGGATGTGGAGCCTGAGGATATGGCGAGAGGCTGGCTGGATTTAATGAGCACTTGCTCTGTGCTGGGTGCTGTCCACGGTGCTGGAGGTTTGGACGGCCAGAACTGAACAGACTGTCCTCTGTGCCTGGCCAGGAGAGACACAGTCCACAGCCTGACACCCGCGTGAGGCAGGGAGGTGCTAGCACAGCGAGGCAGCAGGTGGCCGGCACCAAGGGCCTATGGTCCAACCTTCTGTCTCCTCCAGCCCCCCTCCCCTCCCCCACTCCCTTCTCAGTCTTCCTTTCCCATCCTCTTGTCTTCTGCCTGCTAATTCTCTCTTCTTCGCTCTTCTCCATCTTGTTGAGCATCAGAGAATTACCCAAGAGAGGGAGAATTGATGTAAATGAGACCTGACATGTTATCCAATTTAAGCACTTATCAACGTCAGCTAAATTTTTGTGTTCGTCAGGCTGTCACCACCCCCAGCCTGCAGGTCTGGGTGGAGTGACCGGTCCTCTGCACACAGGGAGGAGGGGGCTGCTAGGGTTTCTGGAAATGTTGGCTTCTCGTGGGCCTGCTGTCCTTCGTCCCCAGACAGCGCCTGTGAAGTGGCTTCATCCCGGTGTCTCTCAACAGCCTCAGGGGGTCTTTACAATCACAGTCTTTTGGGGTTTCCAGGCAGACGACCAGTCCTTCCCAGGTTGGAAGTCTGACCAGGTCTTGCAGGGCTCACTCTGCTCCTCTGTGCCCTCAGGGAGTGGTCCTGTGAGCCCCCCACCCATCTCTAGAGCCCAGATACCAGCCTAGGTCTGTCTGGGCCTTTGATCTCTGTGTTGAACAGCTCTGGACATTTCTTTCTTTGCAGTACTGGGGATTGAACCCAGGTGTGCTCTACCCCTGGACTATATCACCAGCCCTTTCAATGTTTTATTCTGAGACAGAGTCTTGCTAAATTGCCAAGATTAGCCTCAAACTTGCGATCCTCCTGCCTCAGCCTCCTGAGTAGTTGGGTTCACAGATGTGTGCCACCATTCCCAGCTCAATCTCCAGACATTTCCGATGGCCTGTGCTCGCAGGTGCACACAAGCTCAGACTGTGTGCATCGATTCCAACAGAGGTCTCCTAGAACTTTCCCTGTTTTTTTCTTTTTTTTTCTAACTTCATTATTGGAATTGTACCTAACATAAACGTTGCCATCGTGATCATTTTAAGTGTCTAACTCAGTGGCACCGCTGTTTCCACTGTTCTGCGCCCACCACCACCATCCATCTCCAGGACGTGTTCATCTTTCCCAGTGGACACTTTGTCCCTATTATGCACCAAATTCCACTCCCCGCCCCCACCCTGGCACCCACCGTCTTGCGTTCTGTCTCTACGAGTCTGGCTACTCTAGGACCTCCTACAAATTAAATCAGACAGCTTTTGTCCTTTTTCGTTTGGTGATTTTGCTTAGCTCGGTGCCTTCAGGGTTCCTCCATGTTGTTGCATGAGTCAGAATTTTCCTCCTTTTTCAGGCTGAATAGCCTCCCGTTGTCTGTAGGTACACTTTGTGTTCGCCCTTTCTTCCGGTGGTGATGGATTGACTTGCTCCTGTTGCATGTCTTAGAGTGGCTTGGAAGTGCAGGCTGCACCTGCTTAGGTTTCCTCTCCCCGACTCTCCATCATACACCCCTTCCCTGCCTCCCCCTTTCCCACGCCCGGTTTATTTGCTGGGAGGCCAGTTGGGTGGTGTAGAGCCCGGGAGTTCCCATGGCGGGTGGCTGAGTCGGTGCCAAGGGACTCTGGCCGGAAACAGGGGTGTAGGTGATCCGGTGGGCCATGTTTGGGGTCTGTCAGGGGAGGGGGCTCCTAACTCTTGGGGACCTGGGACAGGAGACATCATGGCAGAAGAAAAAATTATGTGATTACAAGGGGACCAAAGGGGCAGAGGGCGCACCTAGTACATGCGAGGCTCCTCAGCACCACGTGAAAACAAATAAGATAAAGGTATTGTGTCCATCTACAACTAAAAGTAAATATTTAGAAAAAGGGGGTGCCAGGGAGCGACATGTCTGAGTTAGGTGAGGTGGTGGACAGAGAGCATGCTTTGAATAAACGTGTCTGCAGGGCACAGAGGCCCCCTGCAGCCAAGTTCAACCCTGACTTCCTCCTGCACTGCCAACCCCCCATCCTTCCACATTTAGGCCTAATGTAGACCCAAGCCCCTGACCTCTCTCTAGCCCTGTTAAGATTGGCAGACTCACCCCTCCCCAGTTCTGGGGATTGAACCCAGGGGCCTCGACCAGTGAGCTGCGTCCCCTTTTTTGTTTTATTTTGTTTTCAACTTTTTTTTTTTTGGGTGCATCACACTGGTACGTGGTGTAGGATTTGCTGTTTAAAAATATGAAATGCTTCACAAATCTGCACGTCATCCTTGCACAGGGGCCATGCTGATCTCTATCCTTCTAACTTTTAGTATATATGCTGCCAAAGCAAGCACCTTTTTTTGTTTGCTTTTTTTGGAGACAGGGTCTTGCTAAATTGCCCAGGTTGGCCTCGAATTTGTGATCCTCCTGCTTCAGCCTCCCAAGTTGCTGGGATTACAGGGGTGCCCTACTGTGCCCAACTTGGAAGAACTTAAAAAAAAAAAAAACTTACAGGTGTGGTGGCACACACTTGTAATCCCAGCAACTTGGGAGGCTAAGGCAGGAGCATTGCAAATTGGAAGCCTGCCTGGGCAACTAAGTGAAACTCTGTCTCCAAAATAAAAATAAAAAGGGCTGGGAATGTAGCTCAGGGGTAGAGCCACTCTGGGTTCAATCCCCAGCACCTCCCCCATTCTTCCAAATTTGAAAAGGAGGAAAGAAAACTTGTGGAATAAAAATTACAAGCAGAATGAAATCTCTACTATATAAATTTCTGCAGCTTAAGATCTCAGTCAAGGCTTTGAAGTTCTCACCTGACCTCAGTCTTTTTCTAAGATGTTCACTTGTTTTAGCCTGTTTTCTGTTGCTCTATCAGAGTACCTGAGACTGGATAATTTATAAAGACAAGAAGTTTATTTAACATGGCAGAAGAGCTGAGGGGAAGCATGTGCATATGAAGGGGACAGAATCTGAGGCAGCCTTGTTTTATGACAAACTGCTTTCCTGAGAATGAACTCACTCCCAAATTAATACCATCCCTTGGAGAAAGGCATTAATCAGTGACCTAATCACCCCTGCAGGGCCCACCGCCCAGCCCCGCCACAATAGTAGTCAAGTCTCAACCTGAGTAACCGTGTCTAAACTGTAGCATCACCCACTCCTTACAAAGAACCTTCTAACTCAGTAGCTCTGCGCCTGGCTTCCCTCTGGCTTCCAGCCTGCTCACAGGCCCAGGAGCTGGCCTGCCTGTCTGCTGGCCACAGGGCGGGTTCCAGGCCGGGGTGCTCAGGCCACGGGAGGGGTGGGGTGGAGAACGTGCTCTGAGGTCCTGCCGCCTGGACAGGACTTGGACTGAGCTCCTTCCCCACCGTGGCACTTGGGCAGGCTCCCTGATCTCTGGAAGCCTCCTCCGCCCTTTCAAAATGGGATCGTAAAGGATCAATTTCATAGAGTCATTGTGAGACTCGGTGATCTAATATGTCTCAAGTGCTAGGTGCCTGGCAAGCGGTCGGAAGAGCTCAGTAAATGTTAGCAGGGGGAAAAAACCCTTTGGATTCAAATCTTGCCTTGTCCTCCAAGTTCTCTGCCTCCAGCTCCCTGTGGGAGAGCTTGGCTGGCGGGATGGCCCAGTGGCTCACTGATCCAGCCCCTTGGAGCTCAGACTCTGGGTGTGTCCACCTCCTGCACCTCCTCTGAGGCCCCCAGCACGCTAGCTGGGCTAGGGCTGGGTGGCAAGAGCCCCTGAACTTGGAGACCTTTGTCAGGCAGTTTTGGCAGCAGGACAAGTGAGCCGGACCTCCAGGTCAGCTGCTGCTTGTCCTTCTGGGCCCACGGCAGGCTGCAGGCGCTGGGCCTCCTTGGCAGAGCTGCGACAGCCCTTTCTGGCCCATGGCCGTCTCCCTCCTGCCTTCCCCACTCAGGCCCACCCTCCCTTGCTCCCCAGGCTCCATCTCGGTGAACAGCCGCAGCACACCATTCTTGGCCACTGGGGACAGCGAGATCCTGGACCTGGAGAGTGAGCTGTACCTGGGCGGTCTCCCTGAGGGAGGCCGTGTGGACCTGCCCCTGCCCCCGGAGGTGTGGACAGCGGCGCTCCGGGCTGGCTACGTGGGCTGCGTGCGGGACCTCTTCATAGATGGACGTAGCCGAGACCTCCGGGGCCTGGCCGAGGCGCAGGGGGCCGTGGGCGTTGTCCCCTTCTGCTCCCGGGAGACGCTGAAGCAGTGTGCGTCCGCTCCCTGTCGCAACGGGGGCATCTGTCGAGAGGGCTGGAACCGCTTCGTCTGTGACTGCATCGGGACCGGCTTCCTGGGGCGGGTCTGTGAGAGAGGTGAGGCTAGCCATCACCCCAGGTGCCCCATCCTCCTCCTCGGGGAGACCCCCACTTCCCGCGCCTGTGCCCCTCACGGCCAGTCCCAGCCTGCCGTCTTGTGATGATTCTCTGGTCTTGTTTCTCTCTCCCCTGGCCTTTGTCGGCCCCCTCTGCTGTCCTTCCCCACTCCTGGGCAGAGGCCACGGTCCTGAGCTATGATGGCTCGATGTACATGAAGATCACGCTGCCTAACGCCGTGCACACGGAGGCCGAGGACGTGTCCCTGCGCTTCATGTCCCAGCGGGCCTACGGACTCATGATGGCCACCACCTCCAGGGAGTCTGCCGACACCCTGCGCCTTGAGCTGGACGGGGGGCAGATGAAGCTCACTGTCAACCTCGGTAACCACCCTGCCCCATGCCTGCTGGTCCCCTCCCTGGCCTGCCTCTGACCAACACCCCCCTCTGTCTGGAGAAGCTGGTGGTGGCACCAGTGCTAGGTGCCCCCAGCAGAGTTTGGAGGTGGGAGGTGACAGCCTGGGTCCTGGTGAGGACGCACAGCCTAGACCAATGCTTCATGCTCGACAGCACTGACAGGGGCTGGAGACCAGAGCCTGGCCACACACCCGCCCGAACGTGCCTGGGTGTGATGCCGTCCTCCCAGAGCACGCTCGAGGAGTCTTGGTGGTGCCTGTCTTGCACGCACGCGTGATGACGCAGCTCATTCTTGCGTTGGGTGCACCCCTGCTCATTCACTGGTCCACTCATTTGGGAGACACTTGCTGAAGCCTGCGGGGACTGAGCCTGAGCCCCGTGCAGTGGCCCCTGCACACAGCCACCCTCGGCCTCTTTGCGTGGAGTAGAGGGTGGGTAGGTGCCCGTGCACACACTGGACACACAGGGACATGCCCTTCTGCCCTTGTCTAGCACCATGGGCTTCCACAGCTGAGGCCCATGGCCACCTCATGATGGCATCAGGCTGCCAGGCTGGCATGGCAGTCCCTGCCTTACAGATCATGAAACTCTCACCCGGCATCCCAAAGGGATGGAGCCCAGCGTCATAGGGAGGAGCCCAGCGTCATAGGGAGGAGCCCGTCCCAAACCCTCGTCCTTGGCCTTCAGGTGCCTTGCTTTCCCTGACATCTCCATCAGGGCTGTGGTGGCAGGGCTGTCGGGTTCTGGCCCTCTGCAACACACTGTCCACTGCCTCTTCCTGTGCTCATGGGTAAGGGCTGGCTTGGTTCCAGGTCACCTGCCTGTCCCCAGTATCTGCATGGGACTGAAAGGCTCCCTGTGGGGGAGTCCATGGGCTTCAGCTTTCGTGGTCAGGACCAGGAGAGACCAGCGGCTTTACTCATTCGGCTGGTATCTAGGGGACATCTTACAAATGCCAGCTGTCTTCCAAGCCAGGTCCTACAGCAGGGAATAAGCAAGGCCCCGGTTCTTCTGGAACTTTTCTTGCAGGGGAGCTCTGGAGGTGAGGGGTCCTGAGCCGACCAGGCTGGGGTCACATCTGCCCATCTCAGACTGGCCTCTTGAGGCCCGTGAGGATGCAGTGCCCAGGGATCTGACTCGCAGAAGACTTCAGGCCACGAGGGTCACCTGGTATATCCTGGGCCTGGAAGAGAAGTAGGGCTCTTCTGAGTAGATTAGAATCCTCAACTGGGGAGAATAAAGAGGTTGGAGCTTTGAAATACTGACCTGGAATCTCATCCTAACCTTAGTCTCCAGGGCATTTCTGGGAGACACTGACCTTTCAGGGCTTGTCATCTGGCTAGTGTACTTATACTGTGTCACCTGGCCTGTGTATTCCTGGGTCAAGGATCTGTCTGCAAGGCAGGGCCTGAGGTGGGGAGCTGTGCAGATGGCCTTGAGCTGGTTTGAGGGGACCCCTACAGCTCTGCTCTCACCACCCATCCTGCAGCCACTCTGCAGGAAAGTGGGCTGGGAGACGCCCTTTGGCCAATGTTCCTCAGGTCTGCCCAGCAGTCTAGAGAGGAGGCAGCATCCCTGGCCTTGAAACCTTGCCCTGGTGACCCCTGGGACCTTGCACCGTTGGGATCCACCCTCTTCCCATGGGCATGCTTCTCTGAGCCATATAAATAAATCTCAGAAGTCAGATAACAAACCGGCCCTTCTGGAAGACCCATAGTGTTAAGAATGGGCTTCTCACACCAACAGCCAACAGGGCTGTCCTGTCTCCCCTTCACCTCTGGCTGTGCTCCTGCCCCATCCACAGAGATGTGTGGGCTGAGATGCCATCTCTACCTTAGCTCATGACAGACTGACCCAACGCTTGGTGCAGATGCATCTGCCTTCACATACCCCCTGGTGTGTGGCCATGGGGCATATGGCCACTGTGTAGCCACTGGAGACAGACATGGTCCCAGATGACAGCTACCCAGCCACCCAGCCTAGGGCTGGGACGGGAGGAGTTCTGGGTTTGGGGTCCAGCCTTGGGATCTTTTAATATTGGGTAAGTCATTTCTCTTCTCTGAGTCTCTGTTTTCTTCTCTGTTAAATGGGGGATAAGAATCCTCACTCTGTCTGCTCTCTGGGGTGGTTTTGAGGCTCAAATGGAATAATGTGAGTGAAGACATCTGTAGGGACTGTCCGGCCTTCTCAAAGAAAAACCACACTGGGACAGGGGCCCAAGCTTGGAGGTGGGCCTGGCAGGCTGCTTCCACATAGTGTCACCCAGTCTGCTCCCGCCTCAAGAGCCCCATTTCCATCTGCATCTTGCTACTCCCCAGGGCCTACAGGGCCCCACAGATGGGGCAGCACCAAGGCCCTGGTCCTGGGCTACACTGCAGAAGCCGGGCGGTTTTGGTCTCTGGCCTCATCTGGAGGGAGGGAGGTCAGAGGTACAGAGGTAGCTACGTGGCTCATGTGGCACTCATGGAAGGACCCGGGCTCCGTGCTGGGCCTGAAGAAGGAGTGGAGCCTGCCAGCAAACCCTTGGGATGACTGGAGGGGTCCTCTGGGCCAGCTCCGGAGATGGGGACCTTGATAGACAAGACAGGGTCAAAAGGCTGCCTCCTTC